CGAAAGGAACTAGCACCTTCATTTTTGCACTAAATCTACCAATCCTTCATTATATAGATTAGCTATTCCATGTAAAGCAATTAGTTATCCACCCATACCACAGTCCCACGGTGGATACTTTCTTCCATAGATACTCCACACAAGAAGAAGGACGTACGCATGGATGCCCAATACGTATAATTTCAAATTTAAGAGTAGAAATATACCTTGCTCAAAAGTATATTATATTTTTAAGTAGCCACTAATCAATGGGAATTGAACCCGTGCCATTTGCTTTAATACTACATGTAACACACCTTGTCTTTCTCCCTTTAAACCAACTAGAAAAAGGGCAATTGCTTAATGAGAGAGCTTTTAGTGGTTATTTTATCCTTATTTATCCCCTAAGGTTCCAAGGATCCACGGTGACAGTATATCCAAATCTCATCTTATGATCACATGCGTTACACCAATGTTCTAATAGTGGGACATGGTGGTAAACAAAAAACTTTTACCTTATTGAAAAAGGTTTTTTTTTAGATTAGTATGAAAGATGATGTAGCGGATTATATCCATTTTTGCCCTATATGCTACAAGTGTAAGCATAGAACTAAGAAACAAGCTAGGAAGTTATAATGTATTCTAGTATTGGCATGGCCATTTCAAAGTATGATACTTGACTTTGTCACTTGCTTGTTGAAGTCTAAAAGGTATAACATTTTAATGGTGGTTGTGGATTAGTTGTCAAAGATTACACAATTTATTTCAACTATAGAAACAATGAATGTGAAGCAAGTGGCAAAACTCTTTTTCCATGAAGTAGTACAAGACTGAACCATCCATCCATGAGTGGTCATCCCAAATCCACTCCTTAGCATTCTTAAGATGCTCATAAACATGGGGAACAATTTTCCCCAATACCCCTTTTTTAGTCCCCACTAAGTCCCTTTTTATCCATGGCCGTATTTGCCGGGTCAAGGCCCATATACCCGACCACTATGCCCCACCAGCCTTTAGGACTTCCTTGCTATATGATTACATCCTTGGTCACCACACAAGAGGATTGTTCCTCTTCCTTTCCTTAGTCTGGGACTTTGGGACAACATTTCAAAACACTGTGGCCCTACATGAGCCTCATGGGTACTCTCCCCACCATCCGCCTTTAGGTGCTCTAGCCATAGGGTTAGAGTGAGGTTCTATTAAGCCTCACTAGGTATCCAAGTAAGTATGCCACCCATGCTTGGACTAAAACCATCGACCATTCGATCTCCCAAAAGAGCTACAGCCGGCTTTTAAACACTTCACCAGTATTCACTATAGCTTTGGACTCCTTAATAGATATATAATCACCTAACATGTGGGCATAGCCTTCACTGGCCTTTTTTTGGCCAAACTAGCTTTACTAGGGTCCAACCCCCACACCCTCCCTACTATACTTTTGGAACCCTTGCAGCCCCCCTACCCTGGGGGACGATCACTTTGGGCTTTCACCCAACAACCTGTATTAGTATTCAAACTTGGACTCGAACTCGAACTCAAACTCGGACTCGATCTCGGTCTCAGACTCAGACTTGGTCTTGGTCTTGGTCTCGGTCTCCATCTCGGTCTTGGTCTCAGTCTCAGTTTCATCTCAAACTCCATCTTGGGTCCATCTTAGACTCCATTTTGGGTCCATCTGGGGTCCATCTCAGACTCCATCTCGAACTCCATCTTGGGTCCATCTCGGACTCCATCTCAAGTCCATCTCAGACTCCATCTCAAACTTCATTTTGGGTCCATCTTGGACTCCATCTCGGGTCTATCTCAGACTCTATCTTAGGTCCATCTCAGACTCTTTCACATGTTATATGTTGATCCTCTTATGTCCCTTTTCTAGAGACTCACTTACTACTTGCTTTATGCTCGTTCCTTAAGCACTTTGTTGAGAGTTCCACTCCCATACTTGACTATCCAAGTTGAAGCTTTTAGTCCAAACATAATACTCTCGTTTGGCTTCCACTTTAGCCACTACCATGTGGCACCTTTTTAGCTCCACTTTTGGGGCTCTAAGATTTGTGTTTCACATCAATGCAAGACAGAGCAAAAGAAAATTAACAAACTAAGCTAAATATGTTTGGCTAAATAGACACTTAAGAATTCCATCCTTATGCTCATCCGGCCAAGTACAAATGCTAAATCTAGTTTACTAACACTTGGATAAAAGAGGTTAATAAAGGGAACCAACAATATTAACCTCCTGCCGTCATGGCAATAAGGAGAGAGTGTCCATAAGGACTAACCGACAAATATCTTTCGATACCCAAAGTCACATTTGTGACAGGTGACATATGATGTAAATGGTTCTGCATTTGGAGGAGCTCTCATGTAAAAGGGACAACCTATTGGATATGAAAGTTGAACTTTGAATTTTGTAGAGCAATGTTATTCCATATATGAACAAGAGTTACTTTCTATTGTTCATGCTTTGTGAACGTGGCAGCACTATCTTTATGGTGCAGTGTTCATGGTGTTTATTGATTACAAACCTCTTGT